TGCAGGCCACAGCTCCCAGCAACCACACATTGATGTTTCTCTCTCTCTCTTTCTCCCTCCCTTCCCTCTCTAAAAATAAATAAATAAAATCTTTTTAAAAAAAGGTTGCCTTTATAAAAAAAGAAGATGATGAAAGAGAACCAACCCATCCTCTGAAAGAACATACTTCTAAGCACGTAAAGGATTTGTATCCAGAACATCCAGAACTTTCACAATGCGACAGCAAGAAGACAGCGCAGTTTAAAGATGGGCAGGAAGTGGATCAGACGCATCCCCAGTGAAGATGGAAACACGGCTAAGAAACACAGAGAGATGCCCGCCATCGGCGGCTGTCGGGAGGTGCCACTAATGTGGCAGAGAGACAGCCCTCCACCAGCACGAGGGCAGCTAAAGTAAAGACAGCAGCGAGTGCCGGTGAGAATGCACAGACATGGGCATCGCTCCTGATGGTCACCACACGGGAAGTAGCCCACATGGCCATTGACCGGTGAACGGTTTAACTACACGGAGGGCACGTATACAATGACACGCCATTCGGCAATGTAAAAGGGGGACCTGCTGATACGTGCGGCACAGCGTGGGTTAACCCCCAAGCCAGCACGCGGAGAAGAAGCTGACTGCAGGACTGCGTCTTGTGTGAGCCGGTCTGGCGGAAGCGGCCAGGCCAGGCCAGGCGAGCTGGCAGAGAGAGACGGCAGAACCGTGTTCGCCGGAGGCTGGAGGGGGGGGGGCGGGGCTTAGTTGCAAACAGACGGGAGGGAACATCTCGGGGTGACAGTGACCAAAGGCACTGAATTATACACTGGATGGGTTTTATGCTATGCGTGTGAAAGCTCAAGAAAGCTGTTTAAAAGGACAGAACAGCTGGATAAAACAGTAGAACTGGGTCGCCGAGGGTGGGGTTCTCGGGGGCAGGTGGCTCTGAAGGCAGAACGGAACTCGGACACGGTGCCGTGCGGAGAACTGCGATAGCAGTGGCCTGAAGGTGGCCAGCGTTCCTGATGGACTTAGAGAATAGCCAACAGGCTAGTCGGTGGAGGCAGAGAGTTCTGGAAAGGTAGTGAGAAATAAGCCCAGGAGATAGGTAGCAGCCGAGATGGAGAGGGACACCCCGTGGTGTCCTAAGGACGGTTCACCTCGTAGAGATGCAGGTTGGAGCGGGAGAGCCGGGGTGCACAGAGATTCCCGCGGGAGCTGTAGCGCGGGAACCCGCTGTGATCGAGCTTGGAAAGGCCGGGGGTCTGGACGAGGATGTGTTCCCAGGGGTGCCCGGCCTGCAGCCTGGCATGGCTGTGAATGCGGCCCGACACAAAATGGTAACTCTACTTAAAACATGAGTTTTTTTTTGTGTGTGTGTGTGTGATTATGTGTCACGATATATTTAATGCGTGGTCCAAGACTCTTCTTCCAGTGTGACCCAGAGACGCCAAAAGGTCGGACGCCCCTGCCACGAAGCCCACGTTCAGGGTCTTCGGAGCTTTGGTGACGACGACGCTTTCAGCCCAGGGGACCCGAGGACTGGGGCACCCTTGACAGAAATCGGGGAACCTGGGGCAGACGCTGCTTTTAAAGCGAGTCCCACATGTCAGAGGGGCGCTACTGCGCCTCAGGATCTGGGTGAACGAGACAGAAACCCACCTGTTCCCCCAGATCGCCGAGTGCGGACGTCCAGTGCCCCCCACCAAGATTTCTGGGAGCTCCCACGCGACTCGTGTTCTGACCGAGTTGGGCCGTGAGCACCAGCTTGCTGTCTTTCCCCACTGCAAAGGTGACATCAGTGCCTTTGTCGCTTTCTCCAAAAAATTCCACTCACGGCACGTAGTCACAGTGTAGATTTACCAAAGAAGTTTGGGCTTACGTTGCAGAAACACAGGCGAAGGAACAATTGGCATCCTTCTCCTCACCGGGACTTCTGCAGAGCTCAGCTGCCCCAGCCTTTCTCTGTTTTAATGTCTCTGTCCCCTTAACTCCCCCTTTTTGGGACTCTTCACCCCTCCCCCTCCGAAGAAAAACAAATTACAAAGCAGTCTGCGTTCCATCAGGAAGCAGCGAAAGTGCCCATGTGCCTGGTGCCGCCCTCCGATCTAAGTGGTTTAACAAGGTACGTCCCAGAAAAGGGTCCTGCCTTCCCCCAGAGGAGTTCTGGGGCCAGCTCTTCCGATAAAATGCGCTCCACTCCATCTCCTTCCAGAAGGAAAGATTACTCGTGGAGTTTCAGGCCAAGATGGGGTATCCAGGTGAAAAGTCAGAGCCGGTGGTTCCAGATGTGGACTGAAAGTAGAGAAGGAGGAGAGGCAGAGGTTTGGAAGCCGTCGACTATGAGAAGGGAGAAGCCTGCATGTACTCCTCGCCCGTGGTGCCCAGCCAGCGGCGTATGCCTCGGTCCCAACAATGGTCCTTTTGTGAAAGAGGCGTTGTCTCCACTTTACAGATAAGGAAACCCACGCTCAGAAGAGTTAAACAACGTCCTCAAGGTCACGCCGCTTGTAGAAGGCAACGTCAGCCTCAACTCCAGCTCTGTCTCAGCTCAAGGCCTTTGCTTTGAATCTAAGGGGGGGAGGGGGGGAGGGCGGGGGGGAGGGGAGGGGAGGGGGGGAGGGCGGGAGGGAAGGAGGAAGGCGGGGGAGAGGGAGAGAGAGAATGAATGAGAGTGAACTGAGGGAGAAAGGCCTGAGCTCCTGAGACACGTCCCGTTTGCAGCCAGGGTGGAAAGTGTAGCTAGCGAGGGAGGGGCTCTGGACTGGCACGGGTTTCCGAGAACAGCTGCGGTGGAGTGGTGGGGACTGCTGAAAAGGTGTGAGGGGTTCCTGGATGTGGGAAGGGAGCAGATGGACAGACGGACAGGCAAGCGGGCAGGTGGACAGACGGATGGATGGATGGATGGGCGGGAGGGCGGATATCAAGGCATGGGCGTTGGAACTGTTTCGCACTTGCTTTTAAGTTGCAGAGAGAGTATGCTTGTACAACGAGGGAGGTGAAAAGCCAGCGGGAGAGGGGGATAGAAACACGGAGAAACGATGGTGGGTGAGGTGGCTGAGGTCTCGGAGGCGGAGGCAGGCGGGAATGAGAACTGGGGTGGAGAAGTGAACCTTGGAGCGGAGAGCACCTTCCTTCCTGGGACCTAAGGAAGTGCGGCTGGAGAGGTAGGCGCGCTGGAAGGGGCCGGGCCCCTGACATGCAGAAGGCGCAGAAGGCGCGGAGGGAGCGCTGCCAAGAAGAAAGGAGGCGGGGCCAGGGCCGGGGACTCGGGAGCGTGGGAGAGGTCGGGCCCACCGTCGCGGGCCTCGATCTGAAAACTGTGGAGGTAACAGGCGAACTACCTCGTGCTGGTTCCGAATAATAGACCAGAGCCCGGATCGAGGTACGCAGACCATGATAAAACTAGCGTTTCAGATAATGTTCGAAAATGGTATTAGTCAAGTTTCCTATTTGGAAAAAAAAATGTTTAAATCCTGATCCTACGTAATCCACAAGGGCAAGTTCCAGGTGTTAAAACACTCAAATAAAAAAAAATTCTATCTTGGCATTCAGTGGGGCCGTAGGGTCAAGGCCAAGAGCACCCACAGGCTCTGGAGTAAAAACAGCTGGCTGGCTCCGGGGCCTGGCGCCGCCTCTTAGCAGCTGTGTGGCCTTGGACAAATGACTTACACTCTCTGTGCACTTATTTCCTTTCCTGTAAAATAAGAAGGAGAAGGTATAACCCTCCGTGAGCCGGCCGTGGGGAGGAGCAGCCGAGGGGGACTGGTCGGCACAGTGCTGGCCTGGAGTCGTGGCGTGGGCAGTGGGGGTGGGGCCCGCTCCCGCGGCCGGGCCGGGAGGGCACCTACCGGACATGAGGCGGAAAAATAAAACATTTTGCGGGCCAGTGCGTATAATGCCCCAGTTAGGTTAAAAACAAAATACGGCAAATCAGAAAGCCTGAATGTTTACGTTTACGTGTGTGCAGGAAACCCGGGCGGCTCAGACCGCGTGTGAATGGTGGAGCGACTTCCCGCGGAGCCGGGCTGGGTTATCGCTTCTTTAACTGCCTTTGTGGGGGCGACGTAGGTTACTGAAAGTACATTTCAGGGGCGCAGCTCCATGACACATCGTCTGTGTGCTGTGTGTTCAGCACCCCAAGTCAAGTCTCCCTCCGCCACCGTTTATCCCCCCCTTGACCCTCTTCCGCCCCCCCACCCCACCCCCGCTTCCCGCTGGCACCACGCAGTTGTCTGTGTGTCTGGGATGGATTTTTGTTTGTTTTTACTTAATCCGTCTCTTCACCTTTTTCACTCACCCCCAACCCTCCTCCCTCTGACAGCCGTCAGCCTGTTCTCAGGGTCTGTGAGTCTGTTTCTGTTTTGTTTGTGGTTTATTTTGCTCATTAGATTCCACGCGTGAGTGAAATCATACGGTGTTCGTCTTTATCTGACCGGCTTATCTCGTGACAGACTCTGACGACTCCATTCCATACCCCCCCAAATATATATATATGGCTTCTTAATAACTTTTTATATTGATTGCATGTTCAAATAATATTTTGGACATATTGGGATGTCCAATATTGGGATAAATAAAATATAGTAAACTTACCTTTGCTTGTTTATTTTTACTCTTTGAAACCATGGCTGTCAGGCCATGTACAGTGATGTGGTTTGCATGATGTCTTGACTGGACAGCACCGATCTGGAGGAAAAGTATTAGTGTCGTTTTCTTTCCTTAAAAGTAATTGAATTTTTTGCCTGGATGCCTGTTTTTCTTTAACACTGTTTTTTAAAAAAGATTTTATTTGTTTTGCTTTTAGAGAGCGGGGGAGGGAGGGAGAAAGAGGGAAACCTTAGTGTTGTGAGAGATACTTCAATCTGTTGCCTCTCACACACTCCCTACTGGGGACCTGGCACAACCCAGGCACGTGCCCTGACTGGGAATCGAACCGGTGACCTTTGGGTTTTTAGGCTGGTACTCCATCCACTGAGCCACACCAGGGCTATTTAATACTTTTTAAAAATGTATTTATTTTAGTGCTCACTTTGGCAGCACGTGCACTAAAATTGGTACAGCACAAAGAAGATTAGCACGGCTCCTGCACAAGGATGACTGGCAAATTCGAGCACTGTTCCGTATTTTTTTAAAAAGAAAAAATTAGCGTTGACATACCATATGATACTAACTTCAGGTGTACAACACAGTGATCAGACATCTGTGCACCTTATGAGGTGACCTCCCCGTGAGTCCAGCCCCCACGTGCCACCACATGCAGTCATTACAATCCCGTGGCTGTTCGCGGGGCTGCGCCTCACGGCCCCGGGACTGTTTCTGTAACCGGCCCTTCGAAGGGATGCTTCCACCTCCGCCTTCTCCTGCGGCCCTGAATACTGAGCTTGCGTTAGTGTTGGTCGTTCTGGGCCTCTCCTTGTAGGATTGTTTCCTTGATGTTGATTTTTACTGTGGTGGAAAATACATATTACACCTACCATCTTAGCCATTTCTAAGTATATGGTTCAGTAGTGTTAAGATCACCAGAACACTTTTTTTTTGCAAAACTGAAAATCTAGACCCACTGAATGCTAATTCCCCCTCCCCGCTCCCACTTGCACCTTCTGTTCTAAATATAATTCTGGAGATCTGGGATGACGTGCCTTCCTTTCTTTCCGGGCATTTTTGAGGCATCATTGAGACGCGACGTCGTGTAAGTTTAAGGTGTCCAGTGTGATCATGTGACATACATATATCTTGCAAAATGATCACCACAAGATATGTTTTCTTAAAGCCCTCAGAGAATTCTGAATATGAATTTGGGTTAAAAATTATAGTTAAAGCCTGGGCTGGTGTGGCTCAGTCCGTTGGAGTTTCGTCCTATAACTGAAGGGTTGCAGGTTCGATTCCGGGTCAGGGCACATACCTAGGTGGCAGGTTCGATCCCTAGTCCGGGAGGGTACTGTCCCCTGGCCAGTGCATATAGAAGGCTGATATTTCTCTTTCTCCTTTCCTGTCTCGTTAAGAGCAATGAAAAAATGTCCTCAGGTGCAGATTAAAAAAGAAAAAGAATTACAGCTAAAAAATAATGGAAAACTTGTCCTTTATTTATAAGTCATAAATATTTTTTTCCTTTTAGCAAATAGATAAAGAAGTATTTTGGTGTAGTTCTTACCCCCCCGCCCCCCCACCCCGCCGTGTCATTTAGCATTTCAGAGCGCAGTTCTTGTGAAGAATGGGCGCCCGTGGTTTAAAAGGCACCTTTTCAGGAGTTGTGGGTGTGTCCGGTGATAGCACGAGCTCAGTCCCACTGGCTGGTGCCTCTGGGGGGCGGGGCTCGGATGGCCAGAAAGCTCCGCCCAGTCCGCCTGTGGCGGGTTTGCTGCTTCTCGCTGGTCTCATGGGGCAGGTCTTTAGAGGGGTCCCTTTCAAAGAAAGGAGAAGGCAAACTTTTGGTGCAGTTTATTCTTCCTTCTGAGTGATGAGGCATTCTTTTAAGTGGCCCGGGGAGATCAGCTTTTTAAAGGAACTTGGCGTCAACGCTTCCCCTGAAATGAAAAATTCTTTTCTCACCCGTGAATTGCTGACCCTAATGTTTGGTCTTTGTGTATCTGGGCTCTTGGTTTCTGATGCAAGGCAAAAACCGCAGTGAGTTCTAACACCACTTTCTCGATCGTTTCTTTTAATATGGTAGCAAAAGGGGGGCCTTTCCAGTAGAGCCCTGGTACTTTCCTTAACCCTTCAGCCATGGGTGCTGTTCTCTTGTGAGGACTGTGTCAGCGGCTTATCCATCCGTACTGCTGTCCCCACACCCCCCGCCCGACTGCTCACAGGTGCTGGGACCCCTGGGTGCCCCACACCGAGCTCACTCTCTGCAGCGCCAGGCCCCACACCTGCCTGTCACCATCCTTTATTCACGATTCGGGCAAGCCGCCCAGCGATGCAAACTCTCTGCCTCTTCTAATTGCACCGAATGTAGAATAAATACATCGTTTCTAATGTGCAGAGAATGTAGTTTACTGATGTTCCGGGCCAGAGGTGGCTGTTTCTACTGGAGGCAGCCAGGCACCTCCCCCTTCTATAAATTATGCACTCGGAAAATAGGGCCCGCAAGCGCTGGACATAAATAATTGAGAATTAGGCTCTCCTAAACGAGGACTTGCTCGCTTGCCTCCCGGCAGATGGCTGCCCTTTGCGTTTTTAAGTTTTGACGGGTGACCAGCAGGAGCTCGCCTTGATTTCATCCTCGTTGTTTTGTCTAAAAAAGTGTTCCCAGACTCAAGCTTCGCATGTAGAGAATCCAAAAACTGAGTATTGGGTCAGTTTCTCTGTTAGAATTGTCCCCGTCTTCCTTCCTATGGGGCTCCTTCCCAGGCTGAAAGCGTCCCGTCTGATTTTTTTAAAATTTATTTTTAGAGAGAGGGGAAGGGAAGGAGAAAGAGAGGAAGAGAAACATCATGTGTGGTTGCCTGTCACGTGGCCCCAACTAGGGACCTGGCCTGCAACACAGGCATGTGCCCTGACTGGGAATCGAACCGGCGACCCTTTGGTTTGCAGGCCTGCACTCAGTCCACTGAGCTACACCAGCCAGGGCCCGTTTGATTTTTTTTTTAGAGTTTGCTGCAGACCTTCCACAAAGACTAAAACCGACTTAGGGAGTTTAATCTGCATCCTAGCTGACGCAACCCAGCAAGAAGCCCGTGGCCGTTTCATAATTTCTCTGTATTAAGGCGAGAGTCGGGTGCCTGGGAGGGTGGATGAGGCGTATGGAGGTGTGAGCCCCGCCCCTGGGGCGTCCCCTGTCGTGGGAGAGTGAGAGCGCGGACGTCCGGGTTCAGGGGCCTCATTTCACGGTCAGAGTCGGAACGAATTCCCAGGTGGACTCAGCAGAGTCACCTGAGCCTCCTGAGGTGACCGGTCAGTGCCACCATGTGCCGGCACAGTGCCTGGCTGGGTCTGGAGGAGGCTGCCCAGGGTGCTGACCCCTGACCCCTGGCGGCGTCTGGGTTTTGCCTCGAGGGGCAGAAGGGCCCGTCACCGCTCACACCGCAGCCCTGGCAGCCCTGGCCCTCGGCTCGGCCCGGTCGGCGAGTCTGAGACGGCGGGCATGCGGGCGTGGCTGTCTTTCCAAGCACTGACCTGTGGCCCAGCCGGACTCGGTAACCTGCGTGGTCCTTGCCAGGGCAGTCAGCGCCGGCTGTGTCGTTTACGTTCGCGTGTTCCCGTTACATGGTCATGCTGAAGCACGTATGAGACATGAGGAGCCTGCGCTGTGGAAGGCTGCACTCGGTGTCGGGGGCACGGAGCCTCCTTCACGTGGGGGGGGCGGGCTGGCCCATGGCAACCAGGCAGAGGAATGTGTGTGCACACGCCGATCCCTGTGGTTGAGGTTCGGGGATACGGGGAGGACAGAGAATCCCCACTTCCGGTTTAAGGGGGAAAGTCAGGAGCGAAATGCATGTATATATGTTCACTGCTGTGCATCGTGGGGGGCGCCTTCTGGGGTTCCGGTTGATGGCGTCAGAGGCGGGTCACGGCAAGGGCTGAATAAAGAACGTCCGAAGGAGAACAGCGATCTGTTTCACGTTCGGCATCTTCTGTTCTCGCTGTGTGATTTCGCTCACTTATTCTGCGCTGTTGTCCCAAATCAAGAGGAGAAAGCTCTCCGGGGGTTAGCAAGCGCCCTCGTTGTTTGTTTGAAGGGCTGACATTTCTTCGAACTGGCACCTTCGCTTGGCTTCGTTTGGCTGGTTCTGATCTTTCTGTCTCTCCCCCTCCAGGAAGCTACTTTGCCAGCCACTTCATCATGGGAGGAGAGAAGTTCGACTCGACCCACCCCGAAGGTTACCTGTTTGGCGAGAACAGCGATCTGAACTTCCTGGGGAACAGACCCGTGGCGGTACGGCTGCGCTCCGTGTGCTTCCTCTGCGTGGGGCCGAGCGGCCACCTCCTTCCTGACATCGCTGGCTCAGCAGGGATTGTGGCTTGGTCTGAGTGGAGTGGGGTCCTGGTAGGCAGATGGCCACCCCTCCGACAGAGCTGGGCCTCTGGCACCGGAATCCGAGCGGTGGAAAGGCTACCAGAGTCTGCCAGAGGGGGAGGCCGGCCCCCCAATGCCAGCTCTGCCAAGGGTTCAGACTCTGCCCAGTGCCAGCACCGGCTGGGCAGGCAGCCCCGCCCCAGCCTCCAGTAGCTTGCTCTCTCCCTGATGTTGTTTCTTCTTCCTAGCGCTTCACACCATAGAAACTTTTATTTCTCTGTCTTGCCCCTTTAGAATGTGGATTTGGTAAAGGTCGCTGAAATGAGTGACGGAAGGGTTGCCCTTGATACTGGGTCTGAGTGGATGTTAGGCTGTGTCTCTCTTGGTTCCTTCAGCTCACTCCACAGAGACTTTATTTATTTATTTTTAGAGAGAGGGGAAGAGAGGGAGAGAAACATCTATGTGTGGTTGCCTCTCACATGGCCCCTACTGGGGGCCTGGCCCGCAACCTGGGCATGTGCTCTGACTGGGAATCGAACCAGCGACCCTTGGGTATGCAGGTCTGTGCTCAATCCACTGAGCTACACCAGCCAGGGCTCATTCCACACACTTTTATGGAGCATTGTCTCTGCCTACAGCACGAAGTTTATAATAATGGCTGCCACGTGGCTACAGAGCGGCTAAGGAAGGTCCTAGAGACTTCAGACATTACTTCTTATCTTCCTTTATTTTGTTGAATTTACTTTTGTATTTATTTACATACTTATTTTTTTCAGAGGAGTTATTATGAACCCCGTTTTGTACTCGAGAGAATGGAGGTTCTGAGAGATGAGGAATGGCAGTAGCTAGCATTTGCAAAGTGCGTACCACGTGCCCGGTACCGTTCTCAGCGTTTCACATGGAATTTTCCCAAAGTCCCGTAACTAGGGCTGCCAGGCCACAGAACAATAACCCGTCTTTCCACTGCTTCTCACCGCTTCAGAATATCCCGCCTGCCTCTAGAATCTCCCAGTTCAGCTGCGCAGACAAAACATACGAACAGTAGACAAAACACAGGAACCAGCGCCGAGGGCCTGCAGGAGTCTGTGGGCCGGGGGCCGGGAGCAGAGGAGGCCAGGGCAGACTGCCTGGGTGCCGGTGCTGGGAAGAGGTGGCAGGCGGCCAGCAAGCCCCCGGGAACGGCCGGGCTGCCGGCAGCGGGCTGGGGAAGGGGCACTCCAGGAGCGGGGCGCAGCGAACAGGCCTACACACCGTTATGCTTTTGTTGTATCAGCAAACGTTCCCTGAGCGAGTACTGTGTGGTTGGCGCTGGGGCACAAAGCTGAGATGAGCGTGGTGTGTTTCCCCCTGGAATGAATAAGGGAGCCAGTCTGGCGGGAGTGGACATCCCCCGACATCGAAACACGGTTGGAGAGGCGGCAGGGGGGGGCTCTGTTACCGGGACAGGGTCCTGGCTCCGTCCTGTAGGCCGTGGGGAGTATTGACCATATACCGCAGGCAAGTTAAAAACTTCTTTTCGGAGAGGTTAGTCCGGCGGTGGTCTTCCATTCTTGAGCTGTCATTTAAAAGCATTCTTGTTGGTGGCTTTATCGTCTTCTTCCTTTCTGCCTGGATCGGCCCCTCTTCTAACCCTCAGTCCGGTAGCACTTTTCAAAACACCAAGCTTTTCCGGCTTCCGAGTAAGTGACGCCCGCTGAGACTTATCAGATGTCCACGCTGCTTTTGCTCCGACAGCCTTGGCCGTCGGAGAAGAAAGACCTTTTTCTCCCGACTGAGCCAGGTAAGAATTTCTCGTCCCCGCCGAGGCCAGCTCATGCGTGGGAAGCAGCCCTCCTCCTCCTCCCACGTGGACTCGCCCTTCCCCTCAGTTCCTTCCTTCCTTCTTCCTCGTCTCGGGTCAGGACAGCTTTTCGTCTGTGGGTTTGTCTTCACACTTTTGACCTTTTCCAGGCCACAAAGATGATTTTAGAACGAGTCCCTGCTTGCTTGGGTTCGGGTCGAGCCTTGTGCCGGCCGGCGCACTTTCCCAGGGTTCCGTCGCCGAGTCCCCGCCTCTCTGGGAGCCCGGGGCGACCCAGCTCCTTGCGGAGCTCGGGCGAGCAGCCTAGGCCCGAAGTGGGACTCTCCACCCCCCCCACCCCCCCGGGGAGCATGGGCATGGGCCTTTCTGCCGTCGTTTCCATGTGGTGATCATCCAGTATGCTTCCCGGTGGACAGAGCAGGTGTGTTTTCCAGGGACATCAAAACTTCACGTTAAGAAAGGAGATAGGGCCCTGGCTGGCGTAGCTCAGTGGATTGAGCGTGGGGCTGTGAACCAAAGTGTCGCAGGTTTGATTCCCAGTCAGGGCACATGCCTGGGTTGCAGGCCACGGCCCCCAGCAACCGCACATTGATGTTTCTCTCTCTCTCTCTTTCTTCCCTCTCTAAAGATAAATAAATAAAATCTTTTTTAAAAAAAGCAGATACGGAACAGTCGGGGGCACGTAGCGCTTAGGGAATGCAGCCGGTGACACTGTGGTACCTGCCTGCAGGGCCAGGCGGCTCCCGGAAACACTGGGACGTCGTTCTGTGAACTAGGTGACTGACTGTCTAACCTCCGTGCTGTGCACCTGAAACCAACACGAAATAATACCGAAATGTCAAGTGTAACGGAAACATAACATTGGAAAAGGAGAGCGGGCGAGCCAGGCAATGCCGCGTCGGTGGGTAGCGATAGAGCGTACAGAGTGAAGGGAGCGCACTCTCCCTAGGTTATTTGATAATGAGAGTGGTTAGCATTTATGAAGCGCTTACTGTTTGCCAGGCCTGGGTGTTCTAAGCTCCAGGCACGTTGTCCCCACACCCTAGTGAGGAAGGTTCCCGCGTGACAGACGAGGAGCTCGAGGCACGGAGCGTGTAAACGCAGACCCCGCAGCCCGTGCGTGCCCGCGCCGGGACTCGAGCCCAGTGGAGCGGCCCCTGGGCCACGTCTGCGCTCCGGCCAGGCGGCCCCCGGGGCTCTGCCCGCTTCCCGTCTGTGGGCCGGAGTGGGGGCCACTCCGTGCACCCGGGGAGACATGGGGCGATGGCTGAAAGTAGACCGAGTGGCGACGACGCGTTCTCTCGGATTGTTTCTTGAGCTCATCCTCGCGGTGCGTCATTCCATCCTCCGACCTGCGCCCCGCTCGGTCAGCGGGAGGCCCGGGGGTTGCAGAGCGCAGAGCGGGCGGCCTGAGCGCTGAAGCACTGACGTCCACCCTCTGGTAACTCACCCCCCGCGTCAGCCCGCACGCGTGTCGGGCTGTTGCAGAGGAAAGAGGACGGCCTTTTAAAGCCGCCCAGCAGCGCGAGGCCGGGGCAGCCCCTCTTCCCAGAGGGGCGGGAAGACGGGGTTGAAATGAATTGCTCTGTAGACTGGAGGGGCCGCAGGCGCCCTGGCTGCTGGGACTTGGGGTCCTGCCCGGCATTTCCTAGCGGTCACACCGAAAACAGCGCCGTGTGATGGGCCATCGCTCCGCCCGTCGTTTTTCCTGGAGCTCCCACTTAGGAGAATCCGGGGAAGTCAGATTTTCCATCAAGTCTCAAGGGTCAGAGTTCAAGAACTAGAGTGTCTGTATACGCAGGGTGAGGGTGGTCGGTGGCACTGGCTGTGAGAGAATTCACAAAGAGAGGAAAGTGTTGAGTCAAGTTTTTATTCCCTCTCCCAGAAAGGTGTGGGGGGGGGGTCACAGTGGGGAGAGATACGCCAGCAATGGGGGGGGAGGTGGGGGCTTTGAGCTTTTATTGGGTTATAATTGGATTAAAAAAGGGTGGGGGTGCTGTGGTGTGGCCCCTGGGCTGCTGGGGCGTGGGAACAGGAGCCTGCAGTTTGTCCGGATGTTATCCTCCGCCCGCGGCTGTCGAGAGCGGTCGGTTCTGTTCTTGCTTTCCAGTAATTTCCAGTCCCGGGGACATCAGCCCGGAAGAGTACAATGGCAGCGACGTTTCACGAGGTTGTAGGCCTACTCGGCAAAGGTGCCACAGTAGCAAGTGGGGCTGGCTTTGCCCTTCTGCACAGCTGGATGGTCGAGGAGAGGTTGGAACCGAGATTTCAAGGGGTTTTTGCATCTTAGCGTTAAACTCGTGGCAACCGTGGCAAGTTGGTCGTCGCTCGGGCTCTCAAATCACCCAGCTGCTCAGGGAGAGGAGCCTGCCTTCAGAGGACTGCCCTGCTTGAAAAAGCGCCTTGACATTGCCACTTAGCAAGAAGCCTGGAGCAGTGGTAGGGAGACTTGCCAGCCTTTCAGGGCGGCGGTTTCTGCAGCCGCTGATGGTTCTGGGTGGAGAGAGGGCTCGCTGGTTTTTGGGTAACAGTCCCCAGTGGTGAACAGGGCTTCTGCTGGTCTCTGTGCTCTGGCCCCCGTGCGGGGGGTCAGGTCATCGTGTGCGGACAGCACAGTCATCGATTGTTAAAGAGAGGCCGCCCCTCCCTGTCCTGACTGGCGGAAGAGCTGGGGCTGCTTTTTTTTTTTTTTGCTTCTGTATTGTGTTTGATCTTATTTTATAGTTGAATTGCTGCTAAAATCCCTGTTATTCAGAGGCTTTAGTGAATTTAGGATTGGGTGGGCTTTGCATACATCAGGCGGGAACTGTTAGATACATTACAAGGGGGGACCCAACAGAAAAAACAAACCAGTGTTATCTCCTGGAGGCAGGTTCCTTGCAGCACCGGCTTCCCCCAGCAGGTGAGTGATCCTATCTGCATCAGTGCACCGGCCGGGGTGGTTGTGAGAGGCTGCGTTCGGCCTCGGCGCATTTATTTTGAAGACTCTTTGAACACGTTTGCCCATTTCACGACGGGTGATTCACGAGCGCACCTGCCCACACCGCGCTGAGCGTTCAGCAGCTTTTGACCAAAAACAGCGTGACCCCCACGCCCCACCCTCCCAATTCACCCCATC